CCACGACAGCCTTTATATGATTTTAACCCTTTCTGTTTTCTTTCTTGAGTATTTTCTGTCCACATCTCTTCGACGACTATCTGCCATCCTCTCTTCATACTCTCACTCGTCCCTCAAACACATCTTCCTTATCCTCCCTCTCACGTCTGCAACATAGATACCATCCGATACGGACCAGCAATTTAATGAATGCCGAATGAAATGGAATAGGCTGCAATAATGTGAAGAAATTTGTCCTTGCCTCTCCACTGATCCGAGAGATTGAGAAACACATTTGACCAAACCAGTTCTAAACGCTTCTTTAACGTGTTTTCGTTTTTCGTTTGGTCCCTGCTGTAGTAATAAAAAATCTTCTGTTATCTTGAATTGATGTTAGGGATACGGGATGTTTTCACACAAGAAAAGGAGCATTCCTCGAAGGAGATTTAGGTCAGCCTCGACCGAGACTAGGTTAATCCTTTTCTTTGTGACCAGCTGATGCTGGACAGAGATAGGGGAATGGGATCAGGCCTCGCAAGCCAATGGAATTGAATCACAGGGCCGTCCATCTTTTTACTGTGAATAAAGCTATGGTTTGCATGTCCTTGGAAGGCCACCGACAGTTGTAGCTTCATTCCGAACCCTGCTGGCGGGCACTACATTGTCACCGTCGTGTCGTTGTGGTCCGTTGGTCTATCTGTTTACTTATTCCTTAAAAAACAACAACAAATGCATTCGTTCTTTCGTTCATTTTGTTCCCTGTCGGTGTGTGAACGGATTAGTGTTTTATTTTCTACTCTTTTATTTTTCATTTATTTTCTTGTTCCTTTATTACGTTCCGATCCTGTCTATTAATTTGTTTATCTACTTACTTCTCTATATAGCCTCTTAGCATTTGATTTCTTCACAGATGCACCCCTTTCGCCTCCCCCCCTCCCCCCGCACCCAAAATCAGAACACGACAAATGAAGAGATGATACTAAAGCCAACATCGGTAAATAAGTACTTGAGTGAAAAGTCACATTTATGCACACTGCTAATATACAATCGTTTAATGTTTAGGTAAATGAATGAAATTTAATTGAAAAGTGGTAAACAGTACAACTTTCCATAAGCAACCTCTTGTCTTTGTAGCCAATCCTCTTTTTATTAATCGACTCCAAGTCAGACCACAGGTTTACGAACGAGAAAAGGAAAAGCGAACTGAAAGCGTCACAGCAGAATGACGCCATTGTGTCTTCGCTTCAAATTAATCTTCTCTCGTGTCAAAATGTCCCTTAAAAAACGGGCCATGTTGCTGGTTTTGGACATGGTGGCAGGGAAATGTATTTTCGTCACGTGCTGTGTTACTCGAGCTCTATTCATAATTCTTGTCCTTATTCAAGCTTTTTGGTCAAATGTGCTTTTTGACAAAGGGGAAGTTATGTTTTGAAATCAGGACTGGAATTCCATCGGAGGTAATTTAGTTTAGATGTAAAAATATTTACTTTGGACAGCGAGATATTAAAAGAACAAATGTGGCATTGTGTCAAAACATGTCTCTGTGATACGTATTCCCTCTAGCAATTTGGCCACACTGTTGATTAAATTCAGTGCCCTTCTCCTTTTCTTTTTCTTATTATTTCTTTAAATTAAATCGGAGAACAAGCGGGCGTTGATGTGTCGCTGCGAAGAAGAAAAGAGACAAGGAAAAAGTATTGTTTCCACAACATTGTACGGTCCAAAATATCCCTGACTTAGTGTGACAACCATTTTCTCACATGAACGCTAACAGCTCTCGGCCTCCAGCATGCGCACTTTATGAGATGATTGCCCCGTGCAAAATGAAAACCATAATAGTTTAAGAGTTGTTCATGTCATTTATAGTGGTCAATACTGGCCGTTGCACATAGACCTCATCCACCGTTATACCAGTAGTTTGCGGCTGGTGCGTTTATTGTCGGACACTTGACTGAGTTGTAAACCACAAGTACTTTGCAACTCTGCAGTTGGAATGAGCACGAAAATTGAACGTAAGGATATCTGTCTACGTTATCTCCTTTCTTCACGGACACCATCGACTTGCTGAGATTAATTCTTTCTAAACAGCTCTTTTCCATCAACTGCTGGTAAAGACAGACGGACAGGAAAAGGGACCATATGCTTTTATAGTTGAAGATAGTTCTCTTGGTGCAGAGGCAATGAGAGATCGTAGAATCGTCCAATAAACTATGCCTTTTCATTGCTTGTCAACGTACAAATCCCTCGCAATTTATTCCCCGCGAGGCCCGTAAACCGCTAACGCTACAAGAAACCAGCGAAAGACCTCGTCCCTACCTTTCATCTTTTACTCGGTCTAGGAAAATCCTGGCCAGTATAAAACAAGGAGAGCCCACTCTGGTGAAGGTGGTTTTTCCTCGTCTGCCGTCTGTGAGTCTCCATCTTGTCTCGGCTCCGCAATTCCTTCGCAGTATACCGAGATGCTGACCAGTTCTCTCTCTCTCTCTCTCTCTCTCTCTCTCTCTC